ATCACCCCCAATTCTTCTGTAACCCCCCCAACCCCTCCCCCCAGACAAGGACGCCCCCGAGTGCCCCCCCACGGTGGTGGTGAAGGAGGAGCCGGCGGGGGCCGAGCCCCGGGGGTCTCCGGGTTCTCCGGGGGGCCGGGAGGGCCCCGAGGGGCTGCGGCACAGCCCCGAGCCCTGCACCAAGATGACCATGAGGCTGCGGCGCAGCCACAGCAACAGCCAGTTCGTGAGTAGGGGGGCTCGGGGGGGAGGGGGTCAGGGGACCCCTGCCATGGGGCAGGACCCCCCAGAAACCCCCCCCAATGCTCCCCCCCCAGGTGGATTCCTACATCTGCCGCATCTGCTCGAGGGGGGACGAGGACGACAAGCTGCTGCTGTGTGACGGCTGCGACGACAACTACCACATCTTCTGCCTGCTGCCCCCCCTGCCCGAGATCCCCAAGGGCATCTGGCGCTGCCCCAAATGCGTCATGGCGGTGAGGGGCGCTGGGACCCCCGGGCTCACCTCACTCCTGTGTCGGTTGGGGGGCTCAGGGTCCATTTGGGACCCCCAAATACCGTCCAGTCCTGTCTGTGGGGGTGGGGACCCCCCATTTCTGGGGTCAGGGACCGCTGTATCACATATAGGGGGCTGGGGACCCTCTCTGGGGTCAGGCACCCCCATGTCATGTCTGTGGGACTGGGGACCCCCAGTTCAGTGCCCCGTCCCCTCCCTGGGCTTGGGGATCCCCCAGCTCAGTGCTCTGTCCCCTCTGTGTCCCTGGGAGACACCCCTTGACCCCCACTCTGTGTCCCTGGGGACCCCCAGGTCAGTGCATTGTCACCTCCTTGGGGACCCCCTGACCCCCCACACTGCGTCCCTGGGGACTCTGTGACACCCTGCCCACCCCCACACACACCCTGGGGTCCTCCCAACCCCCCCCTCTGTGTCCCTGGGCCCCCCCTGACCCCTCTCTGTGCCCCCCCAGGAGTGCAAGCGGCCCCCGGAGGCGTTTGGGTTCGAGCAGGCGACGCGGGAGTACACCCTGCAGAGCTTCGGGGAGATGGCCGACGCCTTCAAGGCCGACTACTTCAACATGCC